TATTCATCGCTGTTAGATATGAGTTATCTGATTTACATTTTACCTGTAATAAGTGTTTTTAAAATCAGCTGTTGTAAATCCTTGAATACATTTGCTTCATTTAGTTAGAATTACAATTGATTATTCTATTAGAGAGAGTCCAAAATTAGGTTGCAATATATAAATGCCCAAACGTTTTCCACTTGTGAAATTAAACGAATAGTCCTACTTTATAAAGCATGTAGTAAGTTATGCCTGGAGATCAACATGAAAATGACAGATGAATAGTTTTTTTAATAAAGAAGCTTGAAATAAGTTTACTTGTGTCAAAGTATAAATAGATGGTTTGAGATTTAAAACAACCTCGAGACTGTAAAAAATATTTAACAGTTTTCATCATATATTGACATCATTTGGGAAATTGCTGAAAACTAACAATCAACGGACAATTGTATCACTTTAGTTTGAGGTTCAGCATTTGTGCGTACCCATGACCATAAATGGTATCGAGTTTAAAACCATTCTCGGATTTTGCTATGAGTATGGTACTTTTAGAAATTCAATAGTTAAGATTTCTAATTACAGTTGGGCGGGAAAATGATGATATTATTATTGAATTTCGGTCATAAAACATTGTTTTTTTAGAGAATGGATCATTATTAGAATTGAGCATGTCTTTCATCTTTGTTCATTGTGACATTTCATTTGTGAAACATCTATAAACCGCTTTTATACAGTAAGTTGTCAAATAAGCAGTAATGAGCCGTACTCAAAATCTGGTTACTAATTAATGTAAACAAAACGATCTTTTCAGATTAATATGTCTAAGTATATATTTTAGTACAGTTTTACTATTACATAAATTTATATTTTCAGTTTTTTAACCTGAATTAAATCTTTTATATCCATGTGTTGTTCCTTAAAAAGAAACTATTCAGTGGATAGAGAACGAAAACTTAATAACTTTTACAATTCGTTATTAATTATTACGAAAGGAATTAATTTCCCCTTTTTTAACACAACACATTCACTTCACTTATACTTTCTCGATTTCAGTCGTTTATCAGCTGATGTTATTCTGTAATATAACAACATCCGAAAATCTATATCGCAGTCTTTTTTTGCAAATACTTGTTATGGACCCCCCCCCATAGCAGTAATACTTCAAATGAGATAGTACTTTTTTTAACCTTGGAAATGTAAACTTTAGACTTAATGGGTGAAACGATTTCTGTTAGGAAGGAATTCACTTGTAATAAATTTATTTTCATGTGTCAAAAATATAGAAGTCTAGAATATTGCATAAAGTACATGAGTTATAATTACATTTACATACTCTAAGCCTTTTATATAAAGTATTGAATCATTAGAAATTACACATGTGTTATGATTCTTTTCATTAACGTTTTTCACTTAATACGAATAAGTAATAATAAGTAAGTACGAATAAGAAATATTCAGTACTTTATTTCCATTCATTACCAACCCGTAAATCAGTATATTATATTATTATTGCTGGTTTAAACATATTACGGATAAATATCAAGTCATTTATAATGTACGTTAATGTATATTAACTAATATTTGCTCATTCATTCATTTGAACAAATTGAAGCTATGATTTCAAAAACATTGTACAATACTTCATTATGTTTAACTCATTTTACGGAATGAGTAAATAAACAATTTCTGTTTCTTATAATTTCAACACTCTACAGAAACAATAAATTTTGTAGTGTTTTTTTTAAGGTCGAATCGAAAGATCCTGTAATTGAACATTGTTGGAGAATTCAAGTTCAATTTCAGTTTTTATTTGACACTAATACAAGTTTGTTCTGTTTTTACTTGCTAATTTAATTTCAAAATTCAAACTAAGTAAATTTTAGAAGACAAAACAACTAGCAAACTAATTAACTACTTTGTTCAAGAATGTAAATTAATAATTTAATCTTAAGTATACAACTCAAATAGTGTAACTAAGCTATTTTATTAGATAGAAAATAACTAATCTATGACAAAGTTAAAAGTCATACACCAACTGATGATTATTTTATATTATTCCATCATATCCGGCATTAGCTGGAAATACTTATGATAAACAATACTTTGGTATGATAATTACCAGAAATAGGATTGGCATTGTTTCGATTGTTGAAAGTTATTTGAGTAAATATTTGGCATTGAGTATTGTTTATTTACACAGTAGATAAATATTTTATTGTGACTGTAGTGAAGTATTAAATGTTAAACCACTTATTAAAATTGTTAATAACTAGATCTTAGTGACTAGAAGGTTTCGTGCTCGCCACAATACATGAAGGTTTAGAGCTCTACTTTATGCATGGGGATTCGGATATCATCTTTTGTGAAGTCAGGTACTAGAAGTATTTACTGCTTTTTTATTGCAGTTTTTACATTTAAATTACAATTTTATACATTTTCAATCAAATTAAATATTCACGTATTTAATATCTTACATTTGGGACTAAATATGAGCTAAACCGAATTACTTGCTTTTTATATTTTCAATAAAAACAAATGGAAAGAATTAGTCAACATTTCACAATTTAAAAGTAGTTTGCATAGTAAATTGATTATAGACAATACTCATTGAAAATTAGAGATTATTGATTGACTGTTTCATCGTAGAACAAAACTCATCAGCAGTGGGGACTCATGGCTTCATAAGGTCACATGTCAAGTGTCTTGTCTTCAGATCACTGAATTGAAATACAATGGTTATAATTTTAAACTCTACTTGTTTCGTGACATTCTGTAGTCGTCATCCAATGCCAACGCTAACGCCTGTCCATTCTAGACAATATTGAACCCAACTGCCTATGAGTTCGTATTAAGATTTTAGCGATCTTCCCCAAGATTAGTAGCTTGTGAATACGTGATTATTATTAAGAATGCATTTTTGTGAAGATTGTTTAATATTGTAGATATTACACATTAGAAATATGTTACAAGGTATCGAATGTGTACGGCAAGGGAGTCCTATACTAAGATGAAAAAGTTACCATGTGTTCTGTGGTGTGAGTGGTTGTATAGTTAAAGTCAATCTTGAATGTGACAAATCTTTAAACTAAACAAACCTCTTTCTCTAAATTGAAATGTTATGTATGATATGCAATGTAAGGTTGATATTATCATTTTTGATAAGAATCGTTGATTATTTATAAAAACAAATATCATGACATATTAAATTATCTACTCAGATATAATGCTAAGATTCTAAAAAAATTCTGTGAAACTTAAAGATGGATATTGGCTATTAGTGGAATTCAGGACAATAGAAAGATACAAGTAAGGCAACACCAAGTGAATCTGTAAAAATTAGTTTTGCGAATTTTTCTCATATAAAAATTTCACATCAAATCAAATTTTCTAAACTTGTTAAATGGCATTGTAGAGAACAAGAATACGTGTGGGAACTAATCGAATGTATTCGCGTGCAAAATTACAGAGTATCTCACTAAATCTGAGAATCATACAGTAAATATTTAATTTGCAAAATATCAATCAATTGTCTCAAACTTGACTGTTTCATCTTCAAATATCAGTCAATTGTCTCAGATTTTATTGTTCCTACATTTGCATACCAATTGTTTTCCGTCCCCGTTCTTTCTTTCTCGATCTTTTATTAGAATACATTCTATTCATGACTATCGTTATATACTACCTATGTGGACATATACGTAGCTCATACCATAGTATCACGTCAGTTTAAAAAGTGATTTTTTCAATATCGATCAGTTTTAAACGATGACCTTCTTGGTCTTATGTAGTCATAATATACATGAAAGCTGATCAGTAAATAACCTAAATAATGTTGACATTAAATATCCAAGTGATAGAATTTCATGAGGAAATTACTGGAAGACGTATGTAGGAAAGAAGAATGGTAACTAGTAGTGGAATCCAGGAAGCCTATTACATAAGGCTGACGAGTCATAATTAGGACGAACCGCCAATCTATGATTACAGATAATCCTTCTATTCAATATATCATTTATTATAGTAGATACATCGAGGGAATCCACACAGGATTTACATATGGCAACAAAGACTGATTATGTTTCAGTCCGAAATACCAACAATAGAATAGCTCAAACTCTTCCAAAAAATGATATGAAAGAATTGTGTTTGTTAAGATGTACATTCGAAGTATACTGATTTTTAAATGTCTACCGCGAATAATTGAAATGGTCTCATAGACAAGAAAAATGAATAGATATAAATTTTATTAGTGTAAGGTATCTTTCAAGATTGTTGGATTTTATGATATAAATCACAAACTGGACTTAGATAATCATTGAAAACCATGAAACATGAACAGCTTTTTCACCCCGGTAAAAGACTCATCAATACTCTCTATCCATGACCACACCGCAGATCGAACTTAGAGCCTTCAAGTTCTGCAATAAGACTTAATCGTAGACGGGAACTTCTGAGTTCCGTATTAAGAAAAAACAGCTGTCCAGTCCTTTTTGGTTCATAATAATTGTCTAGCAAATGTCACTGAGAGCTGTAAACTATATTATTTAAAAAGAAAAGCTATCAAATTAAACTTCTCATACTTTCTATAATACTAAAACCGATCAATCAAATAGGGTAGTTTTTAGCATCAACTAAATGACAATTAAAATACGGTTGCACAATTTCGTGGATTGGTTGAAGTTAGACATTAACACCGTTGGATACAGGCTTAATAGTTTAATGGTTAGGCACTCGCGCGTGAGACTGATAGGTTTTAGGTTCGAGTTTTGCGGGGGGGGGCGGGATCGTGGGTGCGCACTGCTGAAGAGTCTCATACTGGGATGAAATGGCCGTCCAGTGCTTTCAAGTTTTCCATAGTGGTCTAGCTTCAATTGACTCATGATGTCAACTAATGAAATTAAAATGAACTGTGAAGGTTAGTTTTATTTAAAATGTATGCAAATCATGATTTAAGTTAATTAAAACAAATTTTCCTTATAAGGATCTACGTTATTTTATAAAATATAAATTTCATTTAGTTGCTCAACGTTTAGCTAAAGAATATAATATACCTGTAATTAATGCTGGAGACTCAATACGTTGGATATTAAATGATCCAAGTCATATGCATACATCATTAGCTACTAGAATTAGAGAACAATTTAATCGAGGTGAATGTATTTCAGATGAACTAACAGCTCAAGCTATTCAAACATTATTAATGAATGGTATTTATTTCACACGTGGGTAAGTTAATTTTTAATGTAAATAAAAATTGCATCAAGAATAATACATTTTCTTACTAATATAAACTTAGAAACATTTTCATACACTAGTTTCAGTGTGTTTTTTTAAGGGGAAGTTCAATTATTCTATTGTAAATAGATCATTTTATACTTAAACTACATACTTAGACACATTGAAAAAATCAGTTTAGTAGTGAGTACTTATAGACGAACACAAGAAATCCTTCAGTCAACACCTTCTACTCAATATAAATGCTAATAAAATGAAGTTTCATCAACATATTTCTCATGGCTTTCAGGACGTTTGATCAGCTTTGGAGAATAGCAATGATCAAAATGAATTAAGAAGTAAATTCATACATTACTGAATTGAAAAATAAGGATTAAATAAATTTTGGAAGACTGTCAGTTTTATCAACTAGGTTTAAAGAAGGTTTGATAGGACTGATATTATCACAGTGTTAAAGCAAAAATAGTATTAGAGACTATCATTTCGGCCTACAGTTTATTCAAAAAAACCAACATGATGCCTGAAGTCAAATGTAATATACAATAAAAGGTTTATTTTCGAAATATTTATTTAAGGAAATAGGTATTTGATCATCAACACATTTATTGCATTCCTGAGTTGTGGTGTTGCTTGTACTCTTCTATTTAGTTCTAATTATATAAGATAATGAAATAGTTAGTAAATAAATCTTTATCGTAGACTCATTCAATATCCCTCTTTTTATATTGTATACCTTTCGAAGTATTGACTTCATGTTAATAATTCCTATATTTTATATCTTGAAAACTATACGATAGATAAATTGAAGTTCATTCTTAAAGGTTATTGCATACCAATCAAATTAAATAACTCATACAATTCAATTCTACTTGATTGGTTTATTAAAATTCCCCATATATTTCTGTGATTTAATTAGGATAAGAGAATTTCTAAGTTACGTAACTATAAATGAACAATTTAATGCTATGTAGAAATTTTGATTTCAGATAACAAATACATTTATTGAGAAATAAACCTAATATTGTAGATTGACACATATATATAAGTAACCTATCTAAAAGTGATAATAACTAAAAATACGAATAATAATATTAAGTTCTCTGACATAATTCAGTACCTTACGACTAAACATTTAAATATTTTATATGATTTATGATAAAAGTAATTTATTGTTTAGGTTTTGAGAACTATGTATATGATTAATTAGCAAATGCTGTCTTAATTATCTACAAATCAGATCTTTGAAATAGTTGTACAGTTTTATTGGGTGGAATAACTTTCATTGAGAGTAAATATAAACTATTTTATTTATAAATACTGACCAATAATGTAAGGTGGTAGTTGCAAGATCTAGGTTTAGGATTATTAAGAGAAACTTAACATACATGAAATTGATTACTTTTCAGTGATCAATCAATCAGTCTTACAGATTATTCGAGGCCCAAATAATTAAATGGTAACTTTCCTGACTATAAAGCTGACTAATACCGAACCCAGTTTTTCAGGCTAGCACCAGTTCCCTCAAGATTAACAAGTGTCAAGTAACACAAAATCTAAGTTAATATCTTCCTATCAATTACCTCTAACCACCACTTTACATTTTAGCATAATGTACATGATGTCAAGTCAATTAGACTCGTTTGATAGAATTCGATCATCACAAAGAATGACTTGAAATACATGATATTAATCGATACTCAATTAATTTGGAAAATTGACTAATCATTGTGCCCCTCTCCGGAATAAAACTACCTAAGTCAATCTAAATACACAATCTCAATCATAGATAGTCATGAAAATGATACAAAAATTCTCATTTGTCAACTATTCTGAGCATTTATTTTTGTTTTTATTGTTTTACTACACATTTTTCTTTTATACAAGTAATATTCATTATTACACTAGATATTAATCATATATAAATTATTTTATTCACTATTTACAATTCAGATATATTTTAGAAAATTATCCATTAACTAAAGAACAAGGTGAATTATTATCGATTTTTGGTGTTCGACCAAATCTTGTTATTGAATTAGTTGTAAAAAATGAAAAACAAAAGTATGTTTTACTAGTTGATTTACATTATTAATAAATATTAATTATCAACCAATGACAGAATTAAAATCTTGTCATAAACTTATGTAATAAGATTTTATATATGAGAAATAGTTTTATATTTTATTCTTGTATTTTGACTATCAGTCAGTCAACAACAACGTAGAACTTTGTACGTACATATATCAGTTCGAGTTATCAAAACCACATTAGCACAGAGATGTAATTGTCGATTCGAATCCCATAGTGGTAGAGGTAGTAAAAGTATAAGCAGTAATCGGGAACATTAGGGTTTGGAGATGTTATTTAAAGAGTATAATCCAGTGAAATAAATTTGGAGAGAGGAAAAAAGGGACATGACGAATTCAGAAGATTAGAATTTGGGAGAACACAATGAGTGGATGCACCTGCGCCATTGCAAACGATTTTGAGCCATGTCATTCAGGGTCTCTAACCATCGGTTGCTATCGTCTCGTGGATCCCAACCAGGTACTCTACATCTACCAACATAATTCAGTCTACTTGTCAGTGACTTCATGGACTTGTGCCATGTTTTGGTCTGGCCACCTCTAGCTTTCTTTCAACGTATTCCTACACCATAAAACATTGCACGTCGGGGCAATCAGAGGTTGGGCATACGTAACACGTGTCCTAGTCATCTCAACTGACGAAGTTTCACTACTTCATCAACTGATTTGCCATCCTTACCTAATACCCGTTTCCTAACAACTGTATTACTTACTCGGTGGCCCCAGGATATAATTAATGCATGAGGTATTATTTTTCTTATGATATAATGCGGTCTCTTATTAGTAATTATAAATCAATACCAGACATTATTCCGTTTACTAGAAAATATTTTATTCCTGCAATAAAACAGAGAAACAACTTCATGTATAAAGATGATTATATCTGTGCTTAACTATCTATATATAGTTTCTAACAGTAAGTACGACATTGATTTCACTTATAATCTAGAGCATATCACTTAAGTTTAAAATCATAATGAAAATCCTAATATTTAAGCTCTTTTCAAAAAGTAATGTAATGAAAATTCATAACACTTTCATTTGAAAAGTTTTAAATGTTGGTCTAAATATCAATAACATTTAGTCGAGTTTTTAACAAAATCCGTACAAACGGTTATTATATGAAGAGTTATGTTAGATATTTTAAGTTTCTTGATGAGGGTGATATTTCTCACTATAAACATCAGCCTAATAACCAACCAATAAAAAGACAGACCCAAGTAAAAAGAAACGGTCTTATTACATTCCATATCATTTTATGAGTATGTAACCATAACGTGTTTTGAGATATGATTTACGATCAACATGCTAAGTGATTATGATATTCATTTGTACCCCAAGACTATACTTCAACCGACAATAGTTATCAAAAATGATCCCACTATTGAATGGTTTTCAAAGATAACGCTGTCCTATATGATCATTCAAAAATCCATGTCATTAGTTAATAAATTTGATAATATCGACCAATGAAATATAGTCCTGGGGTACAAATAAAGATCAAAATCACTTAGCATGTTGATCGTAAATCAATTTTATAAAATGGGGTGGAAAAAAATTAAATCAAAAAACACAAAATCACCGTGCGTTTATTGATATTCACTATTGTCGTTCTAATTTCAAATCAGTATTTTATAATGACATAATAATAGAGTATATAGGCTAAAACGAAACATCTAATTCACAATGTTTGGTGTTCACTAAATTTGGTAATTAATATCTGGTTGGTATGAAGAACGTTTATATATGTACTGAAAAGTACTGACCTCGTAAACTATGAAAGGTACTAACTGATTAGCAAGTGCCCTTAAAATAACCTCTCGTTGCATACACTTACATTTCATGTAATAATTAGTAAAAACAATGTTTTATTTTTCAACTAGATAAGTGATAAGTTCAAACTACATATTTTAAATCAAATACTTATAATATTACATATTTCTATAGTTTTGTAAAACTAAATTATTTTAATTTTGACAGTAATTTTCATGTCTAATTAAAAACAGTTGGAAAAGAGTTGGTAATTAAGATGTCTCGGATAGCTATTTTATCCTCTTATGAGAATGCATGCAGGGTGCATTCAGTGGCTTGACACGAAATTGAAAACAAGATCTCCAGGTCTTGTGATAAACACGATAACATTGGATAACCTAGATCAAATGGAGCTGTTCAAACTTTCAGCTAATTTCTAACGAATCACGTTCCCAAGCCATATCTTTGTTGGGTTTCTAGTTTACACTTTATTTGTTTGACTCTACATGATATGAATTCATACTAGAATTACTAGAAATTATTTATTAGAGATCACATAGTGATTATTTTTTCGGGTTTTTTTAAATTCATTGCGCTAGAAGAATATTATAAACAAATTATATATTTTGGAAGAATAGCTGAATTTAGGTTTTTTTCAACAAGCAGTTTATCTCTCATAAAAAGATGAGATTGATGACTGGATATTTCTTATTCAGTATCGTTCTACTTTTATGAAAACCCATAAAATGAAAACAACTTGATGAAATTATCTTTTTTGTGAAGTTTTGGTGTTAAATGTGTTAATATTAACGAAGATTTCAAAACGGTATAGGATTTAAAGGATGTTACAACACATAAAATATCAGTAGTATCTATTATTATATAATATTATTATTTCTGGGAATGGCTGTTCGGAGTACGACAGTTGTAACAATAACAATTGGATTCGTTAACATAATTAATATTAATTTGATATCATTAATTTAGAGAAGAACTAATTTTACGAGGAATTACACAAGCATCAAACACAAATCAAGTAAAACTGTCCAAGTCAAGTCTTTCATTTCTTACGTTCGATGAAAAACATATGACGACAAATGTAACTGTAGAAGAACACTATTCAGATTATGAACCAGAAAGAAGTGAAGAAGGATTCAAATTGCCTGAACCAGAAGTGGATATTGCACAAGAGTTAGTTATTCGTTTAGCAGCTTATGATAACATCATCTTACAACTTAAAGAATGGTATTTATCTCGTAATGGAATTCTAGTTGAATTAGAATCAGTTCAAAATCGATGGTTATTATGGCGCAAAGTGATTTATTTAATTAAGCATAGGATGAGACATATTGAAGAATATATGGAAAGAATAACTGCTCGTAAGTTATATCTAAATCGCTTCATCTTATATGTTACATAATACACAGTACCAACCTATCATTTTCATGAAATGAAAACCATAGTCCTTCGCTAGACCGTAGCTGCTACATTGAAGTGGGTGTCAAGCTTGCCTATTGTGATGATTCAGTTGACCTATATTGACTGGAACACATGTTACTTTAGGTTCTACCATGTCACCCAGGTAGGTTGGAGAACGGTAACGCTGGAATCAGTAATTTGAGGCACGAGGGAAAAGTCGTACTGCTGACTGTAGAGAGGTATTACAACAGCAGTAAGATGTTTCCCTCAGACAACCAACATCTGCAGTGATGCTTCCTTCTCACAACAGAAAGAAGTGGTCATAAAGGATCGATTCTGAAAGTATCACACCTCACATCACCCCACCAGATCACTGTCCCTGGGGGTAAGGCCTTTGGAATTGAGGAGATAAAATATTGAAGACGTCCCATAAGAAAGGTGTGAGTGATCGGACTCAAGCAGTTGTCCCTTGGGTTATTGTGATCATGCTCCCAGGTCTCTAGGGCTGTCATTGATTCAGCTTCTTCTTCATGGCATGGGGAACTGGTAAGTAACAACTGTCCTCACATCTTTATCAGCACGCGGGATTATCTTGTTGACAATACACTGAGACTTTTCATTTACTGAAATTCATTTTGTTTTCTTCACTGCTTTTTTTTAAACAACTGAATATTAATGACTTAGATAAAGCTGCCTCTATAGCTGAATTAGGAATTGAACAGTGTGAATATGATAAATTAACCAGTGAATTCCGTCAGTATTGTCCTGTCGCGTTGAGGGAAAGGCAAGAGTTAGAAGATACAATTGATGAACCTAAACAACGATTCATTGTTAAGTTAAATATCGATGACAATCAAATAAATAAATCATATCATATCAGTTCAACAAAACATAATTTGCAGAAAATGTTACATAATAATGGTTATTACAGTAGTAAAGAAAATGAATATCCCAACGTGAATAATCAAAACAATGATATGAAGAGTGATGTTACCACTTCCATTGATGATGATAATAATAATGGTAATGAATTGAATAATTTAATTTATATCCATACATCAATGCGTTTTACCGCTGAATATGAAGGACGTTATTATCGTATGGCTGGACCAAGTGAACTACAATCATTTCTAGCAAATCCAACTAGATATGTTTCATCAAATAATATTAATGCATTACCAGAAAATGAACTAATACCAATACGACTGAAGGGGGATAATTTAAAACAAATACATGATTCATTCCCCAAACAATTAGCCCTAAATGGCTATTGTCCGGTTTGTTTTTATGATAGTAAATTACGTTATGAAGGATTAAAATTAGGACTACCGGAATACTTGGCTAATTACGATCACAAAATATATGCTTTCTGTTCAAATAATTGTCTATTGAATTTTCTCAGGTAAGCGTAACAAGAGAAAGGTGGCTGAAATTATTTTATAACTGTTTTCATTTCATAGTTAAATCATATAATTTATGATTTCAAGATTTCATAAAAATCATACAGTGACTGTTGAAAAATGGTTTAATAAGTATCGAAAATGTCATAGAATTATTTACAACTACTAATTTCACCAGGTATTGTTTGAATAAAAGGAAAACAATGAGTTGATGCACCTGCACCATTGCAAACGATTTTAAGCCAAGTGATGCAAAGTATTTAACCATCAGTTAAGATAATAACCCGAACACCAACAAGGTAATCTGGACCTATTAACATGTCAGTTGTCAGTCACTTCGTGGATTGATGCAATGTTCTGATTTGGCCACCCCTAGCTTTCTTCCAGTCTACTATTGCACCAAAAAAGACCCATCGAGGTAGGCAGTAGTTGGGCTCACGTAACACACGCTTTAACCAACTCAGTTGCAGTTTTCCTACTTCATCAATCAATTTTTCATATTCGCTTAGTACTCTATGTCTAACCTCGACATTGATTACTCTGCAGCAAAAATATGGTTAATAATTGAGTCATAGCGTACAGATATTCACTTCAGTATAGCTATAGTGGCTTATAAAAGACTGCGAAAAATCCTAGTTAGTGATGCTCAGTTCAAAACATGATCCATTGAAACATACATAATTTATGCATAAGTAATCAGATTTTGCTAATTTGCAAACTGACTGATTAGAGAGTGAGTTCTGTGAAAATTCGACAACTTAAAATATCAGTAAGTAACAAGAATAAATAAGGAAGAAAACAAGCCCAGAAATTGTTTCTTTTCAGGAAAAGAAGAAACACCCAAATAGAATTGTCATAAGTCTTAATGTAAATAAAATGAAGTTTACGAAAATATCATTCAAGTAGATAATCTTGAAAAAATAACAAAATTGGTCTAAAATTAAAACCATTTTTAAAACAGATATCTCTTGATTGTCTGAAGTCAGATGTTTTACAGGTTAGCGGTACACTCATAAAACTTGGCTTCTCAGTTTTATCATGAAGTTTTAATGTTTGATAGTCTATTGGAGAGAAAATTAATTAGTAGGATATTGTGAATATTTAATGAGGCTATCCAATTAAAATTGCTGAAAACATAATCAACTAGTTAAAGACAAAGTAGGGTCTAAAACGAATTTGTGTCAATCCATTCTACTTCACTTCAATTCAACTCAATGAATGTAACAGTTAACGAAATGAGAAATGGTTATATTTTAAGATAGCATCTGGTGATTCCGAATTACTAATAATTGGCGAATTCTTCAAATACGAGACAGGATGTACGCGAACTGAACAGACCGGACGACTAATACAAAGTACGCTAAACAATAGAAGTCAAAAACTCAGTGAAAAGATTGATATTCGAAGTTAGAACTGTAGCAGAACAACTTTTTATATATTGACAATTATGGCCATACAGTAACAAAAATCAGCAAACTAAAAGCGAGAATAATCAATCAACAAAGGTTAGTGGGGAGATATGAGCTGAAAAAAAGTTATCATTGACCTTTTATACGTCAGAAATACCATTTAGTAAGATGGACTAAACACTTCCTAGCGTGAACAGACGGGTGAAAAATAGGTGTCAGTTCAAGTTTAAACTAAATGTAAGAAGCATAGTTCCAAAGGACTGACTACGTAAGATCAAAGAATCCCAAATACAGAGTGGTCCTAAGCTCAAAATCTAAAGATAAATAATTAATGCGAATACACTACTGTGACCGATTTTAAGCTAATCTACCGTGAATTTACAAATAACTTTTTTGTTTTGATCACACTTGATAGTAATTAACAGAAATTTGAGAAATGTTGTATAACTCGTTGAGTTTTTATTATTTAAGCGTTTTGATCTTGAAAATTATTTGCCTTTACAACATATATGAGGCTAAGTTACACGAGTAGCCAACCACTTGTAAGTGCGTACTATAGAACACATTCTGCTTCTGCTTAGGATTAACTTTCAATTATATAAACACTATTCGATATAATCGTTCTTCATACTGTATTTGTTTATTTACTTTGAGAAACAAGCAAAATCGATCAGACGGTAAGTGTTCATGTTGAATGAGGAATCTGTTATAGGTTTAAGTGTATGATCTTAATTATCAGTCGGTGTTCGATATCCCTTGGGTAATCAATAGTTATGCTCATCTACTGACACCAATTGTCTCAGAGACTAACAATTTTTTTCATTCTGCCGAATGTCGTTGGAAATATTCATTTTTGTAATAATTTTCATTTATACAGAAAACCTATTCTTTTTGCTAATCTACAACTGCCCCACAAATTGCCACCAGTTGCAAACCCTATCACAGTGAAATCATTACCATTGCCTGGTTTTCTTGAACAAACATTATCTGTAGCCCTTCTTAGGGCATTATCTTCTATTAGTCAAGAAAGGCCAAAGTTTCCATTCATTACAATTAAACGATCAGCACTGATTTATATGGGATTACATTTAAAAGGTAAACAATAAAATATTAAAATATTAGTGAATATTGAATTGTAAGGCATGCTAAAAACTGATCGATTGAAAGAGTTAATTTTGTTAGTAGTAATAGTTATTAAAGCTATTAATCATCAGATTTGATCAAGATATGTTCTGAGCAAAGATACATCTTTAAACGAAGAATGCACAATATCAAGAAATTTAAAACTTAGACACAACTTCATTAATAAAAACGGTCCTTCCACAATCAAATAAATTCATTAGATTTCAAATTTTTTCATCAAGTGCAAATAGTCTAGAATTACAAGAAGTAGTATAATTAGGGGCCAATGTCTGACACACTTTAGTTAGTGGATTTAAAAAGAATTTTTTCTTTGGAATAGAGCCGAAAATAATAATAACTACAAATGATTACATAATTGATGAAAATAATTAAAAAAACAAAATTAAATTGCTTCGTGAGTATTAATGAGATTAAATAAGAGAACAATTATATGGTTACAATCATATTCTCTACAGTGAGTTTCTCCAATCTGTTGAGAAACATATGTCTGTCAAACATAAAGCGAAACAAGGTTTATAATGAATTACCGTGTCGTGAATTTAAAACTCATTCTGAATAACAATATCAACAAGAGATTGATACACAAACGCAATTCAAAAACCTGCACCACCAAATCACTGACTTAAAAGCCATAGATAAGGATAGAAAAAGTTTATTTAACTCATTTCACGTTGATACAAAGAATTGGGTGGTAAAACAGCCAGTAAAATAATTTGTCTATGTACCTTACCAAATATTGATCCGATATTCGAAAATTTAACTAGTCAGAATAACTAGGTATTAACTGACGGCTTCCCGTTTAAAAGTAATAAAAAATGAAAAGTTGTACGAGAACCAGTTTTCTGAAACATTGTATTAACATATGATAGACTAATAATAAAATATATTAACGAAGGAAAATATAATTTGAAAAGTATATCAAGCGAGGCAAATATGAGTTATTACCATTACGCAGCTTCCAAAACTTTCGACAATGAAACTAGGCTATTTTAATTAATCTAAAGGGAGAAATTTTAGCTCCTTGACGCATTTCTAGTGCTTTCCTTATAGTAAAAATGAGAGGAATCTACTAGATGAATAACGTTGTTGTATTGATTTGATTTCGATGTTGCATAATGCATGAGAGTAGAACTGAGAACGAATAGTGATGTAAGAACTTATTCACTCATTTAGTTACTAAGACTAGGTATACAACCTTATGGATAAAACTTTTAATAGTTCAAGAAATACTGAAATAGTCAACACCTTAATATCTGCAGGTATTTATCTCTTTAGTAGTGTACAGAATTCTATTTAGTTGTGTATTTTTTTTTGTCTTGAAAACAGCTTATAATCCACGATTTCCGATAAACGAACAAAAGAAAAATCAACAAAAGTTGGCTAATTATGTGAATGCTTGTCACCTAATACCATGGTTGGCTAAATCTATGCCAATTCAATTTCTTTCGGCCAACAAACGTTCAATGGAATTCAATACAAAACTAGATCACTTCCTTGGCCTTGAAAAACATAAAGATCTCCCTGAAACATGGATTCATTAGACTACTAATAAATACACATGAATCGTATAACCTAATAAATAGTTCACTAAAATGTGCAAGTCTATGTAAACGGAATTACAAGCTGAAATCTAATAATCTATAAATTCATACATATTCCCAAATTTTGATGAGTGGAATTGTTTTCAACCAGCGAAGAATTAGGCGTGTAAAGGTTATGGCAACTACTTTCCGTTGTGCATTATTTCCGATACTCATTAAAACAAACTATCCTACTTTGAATCGTGGAAATTAAAGAGCTTAGCAGTCATTTGACGGTATGATCATTTCAGACTATTTCTATTTGTTTATAGCCTGATCGTAGCTGCTACATTGAAGTGGGTGTCAAGCTTGCCTATTGTGATGATTCAGTTGACCTATATTGACTGGAACACATGTTACTTTAGGTTCTACCATGTCACCCAGGTAGGTTGGAGAACGGTAACGCTGGAATCAGTAATTTGAGGCACGAGGGAAAAGTCGTACTGCTGACTGTAGAGAGGTATTACAACAGCAGTAAGATGTTTCCCTCAGACAACCAACATCTGCAGTGATGCTTCCTTCTCACAACAGAAAGAAGTGGTCATAAAGGATCGATTCTGAAAGTATCACACATCGAAATCGTCCCATAAGAAAGGTGTGAGTGATCGGACTCAAGCAGTTGTCCCTTGGGTTATTGTGATCATGCTCCCAGGTCTCTAGGGCTGTCACTGATTCAGCTTCTTCTTCATGGCATGGGCAACTGGTAAGTGACAACTGCCCTCATATCTTTATCAGCACCCGAGATTATCTTGTTGACGATCAAATCCCTCAGTCACCTATTAACAATTCTTCCGACCCCATGACTAACCGTTCTTTTTTATCTCTTTCACCACGAGCCACCAATGTTAATCATTTGAGTTCATGAAATGTTATTACTGGTCGCCTGAAACCACGCTCTAATCTACATGTTGGGACTTTGAGTGCCCGAACCTTTTGTCAGACAGGACATCAAGCTTCCCTAGTTTGGACTCCAGAATCTTGCGCCTTCGATATATACTGAGTCTCCCAAACGCACATATAAGATCCAAGTACGGTCATTCATTTGACCTCACCTTGTTAATATAAAGAGCTGGCACGATTCACCCTCGGAGTATCTGGAAATCCCACTGCTACTTTCCGCGGCCTCTTTGGTGTAGGTATGGAATAATGTTCTGAAGCACAACAGACTCCCCTAGACCGGATTCCAATAGGCAGTCGCTAGTTCGCTTTTCGATTAAACGGGACAGTAATAACTCGAAAAGATTGGGACACAAGCCGTTTCCTTTTCGTTTTCTACTTACGCCCTCACTGATTGCAGCTCGGGCGAAGTTAAAATGAATTTTATAGGAAGCTATCCTAATTCCTTCAAAAGAATACTCTCTGATGTAGTAATATCGGCAAGTGATTTTACTGCTCAAGTAAGTAAACTAAAGCAAACCGAGAGGAACTAAGGCGGATCACAGAACATATTATGGCGACCGTGTGTTGCAGCTATGATATTTCCGGCAAACACTAACTTTAAAAGATAAGGAGAAACATCATCTGACGTGGCGATCTCCACAATAGACTCGTCGATGGACTCGAATAGATCACGCTGCCATTACCAACCGTTGAACGGGTTCAAATGAAGACAGTCGCACATGTTTAGACTTGGATCATGCTCTGGTTGGAGCACGTATTTGTCCGTGTCTTTCTACACGTAGGAAAGCTAAAGGAAGAAAAGTTTTTAGAGTCCAACTTAATGATGACAAGGTTCAGAATATATATCAGGAACTAGAAAAGGAGCTAGTCAACCATGAAATTGATACCCAACCCGAGGTAGCTTGGTATGATGTTCAAAAAACTGTGGAAACAGCAGTAATATCTACTAGTAACTCAAACTAAAAGGTTAGGGAAAACCAGTGAATTTCGACGGCATCTACAGAAGAGATAGATGCGATCAGTCAGCCACAACGTAGGACCAGGCACATATATACATCAGTCCAAATTGCCATACCTCTTTAGCACAACAATATGAACACCAAATTCATAGTAGTTAATTCAATAGTAGTAATGTATAAAAGAAATATTGCATATAATGATACAAGAAGAAAGAATTAGTTCGCAGTAAGAAAGATAAAGCACTTTTAATCTCACGGTTTGATGGAAGACAGAGAGTGTATGCACCTACGCCATTGTGATCGGTTCTGAGCCATGTCACGAATAGTCTCCAACCATTGTTTACGATAGTCACGCGGACCCCAACCAAGTCTGCATCTCCCAACATGGCTCAGACTAGAAGTTAGTGACTTCAAGCACTGATGCCACGTTTAGGTTTGACCGCCCCTAACTTTCTTCCAACCATCTCCAACACCGGTTAGAATTGCACGTCGTGGTAATCGGTGTTCAGGCATACGTAATACGTGACCCAACCATCTCAGTCGATGAAGATTCACAACCTCATCAACTGATTTACCATCGTTCCCTAATACCCTGGGTCTAAGCTCACTATTACTTACCCGGTGATCCCAGCAGACGCCAGCAATATTTCTGAAGCATTTGTGGTCAAATACTAGTAGCTTACGAGTGTCTTCTACTCTTAATGGCCATGTTTCGCTGCCGTAAATTAAAACAGAACGAACTGCCGCGCAGTATACTCGTCCTTTTATTGATAGACAGATATCTCGCCTTCGCCATAGGTGACGTAAGTTAGCAAAAGCCAAGCGAGCTTTTTGAATCCGTGCAGATTTCGTCAGACACCAACCCATTAGGGCTGATCAGACTTCTAAGATAAGTAAAGTTGTCAACGCGTTCGACTACTTCACTCCCTATCCTTACTTCAGGTGTTAACACAGACCAGTCCTGAAGCAACAACTTGCATTTAGAGGGAGAGAAACGGATCCCAAACATTCTGGCATCGTTCCTCAGTGTTACCAAAAGATTCTGCATTTTATCAGCGTCTTCACCAAACAGGACTATATCATCTGCGTATTCTAATTCGATAAGTAGACCTACTGATAGGAGATCAATGCCCGAGAATTCAGTAGACGAGAATGTTATTTCCATCAATAGGTCGATGATGAAGTTAAACAAACATGGGGAAAGTGGACAGCCTTGACGGACACCACTTGAGGTTGCAAATGCTGCTTTAAAGGCAAAAAAGACCACCATTGTCGGACGCCGATAAGCATGCCTGTGTTCTAGAACCTGACGAATGGTGAGTATGCGGTCGATGAAGCCAGCCTGATTTTCTCGTGTTTGCAGTTCACGAGTCTTAAGCGTTCGATAATTATTGAGGCTAGTATTTTAGATGCCAAGTTAGTCAACCTAATCCCTCTATGGCTATCAAATGATCATTTTGACCAATCAGATGGAATTACGTCCAACTCCCAGATTTGAGCTAAAATATTAGCCAACCTAATTGTTAAAATTGGAACACCATACTTAGAGACCTCTGGAGACAATCCATTTGGACTAGCTGCTCTTTCTCGTTTTAGATTAGCTGCATCCTTCTAAACTTCAGTTAGAGTCGGGGGACCTACTTCAGTGTTACATTCTCACTGTCCGGAAATGGTGGGTACTTGTAGAGTAGCTGAAGGCCAGTTGAACTGCTCCTTAAAGTGTTCCGCCCATCGTCCAGAACGTCTAGACCGGAAGCAGATAATAGTGTCGTCCTTTTCCAAGATCGTCTCACTTACATTTGACTTCTTAATCTCAGTTTCTTTTATTAGTCCGAAGAGCTGTCTTGTGTTACCTACAGCCGCCGCATTTTTCATCTTTTGCTTTCGTTGCCCACCACTGCTCATGGTCGTTCCTTAGACCTTCGCTTAACTTAGATCTGATTTGTTTTCGCTCTTCGTGTTCACAGCCTGATGGGATGAGTTTACAAGAACCTATCAGTGCAATAGACTTAGAAGAAATCCATTGGCTTTTGTGACTCTTTGGGTTAAATCACTAATAGATGTCACTGCTGTTTCCACAGCTGCTTGTATATCCTCTCAAGCAACATCTTGGTCAGCTGCTTAAGTGTGACCTCACTTGTTGCTGGAACCTATTTTTGGTTTTCTCGTTACTCAATTCAGTTCTAATGGGTCTTCTTAATATGGCTTTTCGGCGCCCAGTGAGGTGCAGGCAAATGCGTGCCCATATTAGAGCATGGTCACAGTCCAAGCAGGTACTCCAGAATGAGCGATAGTCTTCTATCGAGCCTCTCCAACGATGACTGATAGTAATATGGCTTATTTGAGTCCATCGATGGTTTGGTGAGGGGGTCGCCATGTTAGACGATGTCTCTCCTTATGCTTGGAATTAGTGGTCGCTAAAAATAAACGATTATCTGAGAACAGTTGCAACAGACGATCACCATTATCTATTCGCTGCCCCAGAATGCCAAAATCCCTACCTAAATGTCTTTCTGTTTGGTTTAAGCTACCTAATTCGGCATTAAGGTTACCTGTTACGAGTATTATGTCTGAACGTTTAGTTTTCCGAAGTTCAGAAATCTTTCTGTAAAAGTCTTCTTTCACTTCATCCGAGCTGCAGACACTGGGAGCGTAGACAGAAACGACAGAAAGATGACTTCTGTCCCGATCCTTTCGAATTCCTATAGAGTCGTTTGGCCGAACAGCAAATAGGCGAGTGTTAACGGGGATCCACTCTAATAGTGCTTGTTTTGTACTCGCGCCTAGTGCTATGCCTACATCTGCCAGTCCACGAAAACTACGCATCGGGTCGCCAGGTACATGGAGGGTGTATCTCATCGATCCTCAGTTTTGGTGAGGTGGAGTCAAGTGAGTGACCACAATAGGATTCTGTATGTGTTTCTGAGACACAGCATACATCAATGGTACAAGATTCTAGGGTTTTAACCAAGGAGGCCTGTTGGCCCATTTGACACAGGGTGCGTACGTTGAAGGCTCCAATGTGTAGTTTGTAGCGAGGTTTCAGTAGACCTAGGACAGTTTTTCGCGCATTAAAATCGTTGGCTATGGTGACACTTGAGGGGGGAAGCAGAAAGAGGAAGTTTAGCGTTGAAAGTCGATGTAGGAGGAATAATAGTAATTGAAGAGGGAGGTTGATTATGAATACAGTGGCCTTGAGTGCTGTTAGAGGCATGAGGTCAGTTATCACTTCCCGGTTGTCCACACCGTGGAAGGGTTCTTCTGGAGGTACCTGAAAAAGAAATTGGATTAGAGGTGGTCCTAGTGACCTGAGAGCGTGACCGCAGTGCCCAAGGGATAACTGCTTGAGGTCGGTCACACACGACTTTTTTATGGGTAATTTTTGTGTTAGCTCCGCTAGTTCCTTAAAACCTAGTAATTAAACCCGTCGTTGATCAGTAACTTGTATTGGAAATTCCTCATAACTATTTACTAAAAAATCAGTGCTCGGAAACTAAGTACAACTTTAAATGGAAATTTTGACGTACATAGATTTTTACCAATAACTAGCTAGAATGATAATTTCTGTTGTTTAACCTGCTGCTAGATAGTCGATAATTTACGGCAGTCGGTGGTCAGTATGTATCAATAAGAAACCCACTACATAAATATCAGCAAATCCAATAAGAACTTCTTGATTGGCTTAGGTAAAACCTGAGTTATTGTTTACGGTTTCAATGTTCGAAAACTGGCTTCTGCCTTTCACCTCTGTGGGGAGAGTTCGGACTTGCAAATAAGATAAATGAAATCTTGACACGTCGGATATACGTAGTATGAGAGGAACTTAAATAGAAACCCCCTAATGTTGGACACACTTCATTCAGAACATGATCAGCTCAGAAATGTACAACTAACAAATGCAACACAACCTAATTGGATCACAAGGTATGAATTTATGTTACAAACTTATAGGACAACACATCGTTATGATCGAAAAATATGGGACTCGTAGACAAGAAAATTAGCAATAGCTACTAAAAACTTAGCATTAAAAGTTATATTTTAGTGAATTAAAGAAAGTGTGTAAGACATACATAAATGATACCTAGTAACGGTATTTTTATAACAGAGCTGTAAACATTAAGAGTATGAAAAACCCATGTAATGGGGTCATAAAACACATATCAAACATGTGCCAGGAAATAGTACATTGGAAGTGAAGGAGGAAAATTCAGAACTGGGACTCATTTAGGCAACGACGAACTAGTAACACCTAACACACAAATTTATTGCGTACCAGGTATGTTTTTTGACAAGAATGTTCGGAGATCTCCCATTTCCTGAAATGCAATTCGGTAAAAATAATCACTACTACCAGTTTACCTTTTCACATGACGAGTGAGATAATTGAGGATAACAGTTGAGTTCACATTTGGATAACTGGAAAGTTTTCAGAAGCTCATGAGTTAACTTTCCCATGGCAAAAGGAATTGTATAATCCTCCAATCCATGACACTGGAAAACTGGGACGTCCTTGGGCATAGTCAAGAGCTAAGCAATAATAATTTGTAAAAAAACATACTGTAGGTGAGGACATAAATTTTGTATGGAGTGGAAGCCAACAACTGAAAGCAACAACCCCACCATACCGTAAAGTGCTCGTTAGTGCATTATAGAGGGCCACTGAACCACCTTGTGAAAAACCTCCGATAACTATATTCTCGATGGGGACTCCGGATTTTATTTCTGCTTCAACGAATTTTCCTACTTTATTTAAAATATAATAAGAGCAAAAATAAATGGAATGTACATTCGAGCGATGCCTCCTTTATTCCTGCTTCATCTTGTTTAGCGTTTTCACTTAGAGCATATATGTCATACCTTGTCATCAAATAATCGAAAAACAAACCACAACAAACCATGCTGGCATGCACATCCCTCCATTGAGTGTGACTGGTATTGAATTCCTGTACGAAATATACAAATCAACCAATATAAACTTACGCATGAGGGCATATAATCTTGAAGTAGTCCGGAACATATTCCTTTAAAGTGTCCGACCAACCATGCCTTATCGAGTCAACCCTTTAAATTAGGGAAACTTACCCTGTGTCACCCAATCCATGTAAGAAAATCAACTGAAAAATATATAAGTCAATAAGTATGATAAGTGGTATTTGATGCAAAGTACAATAGGGAAAAGATCATATGTGACGAGAAACTTCGCAGTGCAGTTACGTTTTTGCTACCGTTCTTTCACTGTACCCGGAAAGCTTTACTATTTACTGCTTACGCATTAAAATAGTTCCTTTGGTTTCCACAATATTTTTGATGAAACCTTGAAACTCACTGTAGTCAACTACTAAAGTACGCACAGCCTTCTAAGTTGTACATGAAGCAAAAATCTTTCAAGTTAGATTAGGAGTCCCCGTCATTCAAAAACTATTCTGTACACCTTGAATAGCTTCTGAACACATCTTGTATTGTATTACTTAATCTTCCACCTTATAAGTGAAAGGTCGTAATAAAACGATATGGACTGACGTAACAGTTGGGAGTGAAATGTTTAAGTTTACTGGTTCCTTTATTAGCGGAACTGCACTGCCTTACGCGAGTTTCAGGTTAGTGCGATTCAAGAGTGGACGCAATAATCCATCAAACTGAATTACAAGATGTCCGGACTCCGATCAAAGAGTGTACTGCAGGGCCGCTTACTGCAAAATTTTGTAACTGAAATGCGGGTTGAGGAGGAAAGACAAAAGTTACAGAAACTACTATCCTCGAATCATTAGTTGAGACAAAAATCTAATGAGGAAGTTCGACCTAGGTTATAAAGACAATTTTCTAGCCTTTGAAATAGAATCGTTAAAATATGAGTGGACTGTGGATGTTTCTCATCAACTGAAAAAGGAATCTTATTACATGATTTTGTTATATATAATGAAGAGTCAATAACATATGGCAACATAACTTACTGTAGCAGAATGTTTTGAGCGAGAAGCTATGACAGCAGCAGGTAATAGTTTATTAGCCATATCTATCTCTGTGATACAACTAATACTACTTCCCATAAAACATTAGCACGAAACAGGTCAAACTATCACACTTGACTCAACCGCTTCTACTATTTACGTAATAAAACACTAGTTTCGACCTTTGTAGGTTTTATTGATTGTGTTGTCTGATTTCGAAATATCAAGTATCATTGTAAATAACATAAACTGTTCATTGCTTCCAGCTTGGAGATAAATCCAACTCCTGTAAATTTTACAAATACTGATATACGCGGTTGGAGAGAAAATTAATCAATGAGTGTGCCGTATACAGTACTCCCAATTCTTTTTCCACTAGTTTGTTGGGTAAGCGTAGTTTACACACTAAAAGACAGCTTGAGCAACAAAATATTTCTTTCTTATCAAGACTGTAGACTAAAATAGATGTTTTAAAATGAGTAGAAAGTCTATACCAATAAGGCGGTTGTGAGTCAATTTTCAAACATAATAATCAGCCTGATACGTAACGCTTCAAAAATTGAAATAGAATAATACCCATGGCCCGTTAATTAATGCAAGCATTCACATCTAAATAATATTGGGAATTCAAAATGGATGTAAATGTATCTTTTACTATCTGTGAAAATGATGATAAGTAATTATTAGGCGGTGAAAGTGAAGATTACACTATAAAATTACTGAACAGGCCAAGTATGATGGGAATTAAAAATTACAGTGCTAACGAAATCGAGGGCTGGAAATTTTCTTTTCAGTGATTTCATTCCAAACATCTAAATTTATATATAAGCGTAATGATGCCACAGGTATTCAGTTCAAAAGTCTTTAAACGTCACAAATTTGTAACCAAAGGATATTAATTCAGTCAAATCAGAAGTCAGAAACAAAGGGGCTCGAAGATGTACTTGAAAAGCTATCGATATGTCGAGAGGCGTTTGGTCTAAGCTGGCTAGTTGTTGCAAAAGATGTGTAGCACGGTGTGCTCACTCGTGATTGGGTGCAGATGCGTGACCAAGAGCCTTCAATTTTGGTTTGTCCAACAAAGCGAATCAGGCCAGCAATAATCTCAAAGACGTATTAAAACATCCAGTTTGCAGAATTGTTTGCCGCTGCAGCCGCCTCTAATGAAAATAAAAAACACAAACGTACTGAAATATGGTGGTTAAAATGGAAATTCTTATAGAAAGTACCCTCTTATGTGGAGCGTTTGACCACTAAATGAATAGAAAAATAGCCGAACGTACTAGATTTATATATACAAGACAACTACCATCCTTCTAAGTGACTCGATGACAGCGGAAAAGCTCATAGGTGTATATATGGATGTATGAACGTGTTACATCGGAGGACAATCAACTTTCCGTTATCAAAACGAGTGAAGGATTACTTAAAAGTAATGGGATGTGTAGATGAGGCATCTTATCTTGTACAGGTCGAGCAGTGATTAACATTATTATCAATTACGGTGAGTATTTGTCTGGTAGATGGATGTGATTTAAACGTAGTGGATATTTGTTTTGTTGTGAGAAGACAAAGAATTAGGAGTACCGGCTCCATATACATGTTCGTTTGACTTATTATCAATATGGCTGGTGGGAGAAAGATGGTCGGAGGGTAGTTTGACGAAGGAAGTATGTTTAGGAATGACGGACAGAGTAGAGTTGGTTGAATGGATATGTAGTGTATTTCGGAAGTGGTCAGGAGGTTCAGTTAAAAGGCTTTTAGGACTAGGGACAGTCATCGCTGAAGTGAAAAATGTGTCACTCCCCATCAGGTCGGAGCAAATAGAGGATGGTCTCAAAATAGTAGGATTACCACCTTCGAGATTTGGAGACTCCATAGCAGCACTGTCAAGTGGGAGAGATATAAAAAGGATGAGGTGGTGTATATACATCGAATTAGATGGATCAAAGATTTCTGTAAGGTGGCTTGACTTTGATAGTATCTAGAATCACAATATGGGTTCTCAAGTAGGCCAACGTTTTGGCTCCTATGTGTGCGGTGAGCAATTTTAGTCTGGTTATGGCTAATTGGGAAGGTTATGTCTTTCAGGTTGGAAATGGGGAATTGCCTGAAATTGTTGTCAAGAGAGGTGTTCGTGTTGCCTATGATTGCGTACTGGTTCCTAGAGCTTATAGGCTTCACACTCTAAGACTTGCTGGTGTCATGTGTAGCTGTGGTTTTAGTCGGATGTAGTCTGACGTTGAGATGAATGGGCACTGTTAGTCCACTATGTTTGCTGCACAACATTTTATTGCTGTGGACAGGTGCATATTGTGGGTTAAAGGCGCTAGAGTACTTATGGGTTTCTACAGAGGGTTTAGCATTATTTCGCATTGCGGTGACCGGATTACTATAATCCTTGGAGCAATTGCTGAGAGGATCATTTTTCGGCTCTTGGGTCTTTTATCGAAGCTGCTAAGGCAATGCTGGGGCATTATAGAGGCATAAATGGATTGAGACTGGGGAGTAGTTGAATGTTTAGACTTAGAATGAATGGATAAGGCTGCTTTTTGTGCAATCTTGTTCTTAAGATGAGTGGTAGCCTTCGTTTTTGAAAGGGGTAGGAGTGGTGTTTTAGGGTTTGTGCAGTGACCAACGTTGTATTTGTTTCTAGTACGTGGGTTTTGTTCATTGGTTTGCAGTTAACTGAAGATTCGTCATCGAATAAAAGTCCTATCATGGATGATTCCAATCTTTTTAAATGTTGGAAAATTACTCAGTAACGACTGATCATCAAGGTAAATAGTTTCTGTGATACTACCAAACTGAAGGATAATGGGACAGGAAGCTTTAGTCTGTAATTTACATAATCTACTTGTGACACACCAAGTTTGCGGCAATTCACACTTTTGTGGTGGAGTATTTTTAACAAACTTTAGGTCCGCACTGTCAGGTATATCACGCATAATGGTATTCTGCATACACTGTAGTCTTTTCAATACTTCAGATGATATATGGTCGATTACTTTTTCAGTGTTTTTTGCAATTTCGAGATTAAGATTTTCCGGAATACTTATTAGATATTTCTACCGTTGTAAGTCTTGAATAGTTTGCGTGAGACTAAGTTCCATTTGATTGCTCTTGGAAATACCACTGGCGGTTTGTATCAAAATTGTTAGGGTCGACATGGTTTCATACAGACTTGTTGCAAGTGTCTATCGGCTGGTCGCCTTGCGCATACTTAGTTGAGGGATGAAGCATACGTCTGGGTAAGTAAACTATATACAAAATGTTGTGATTTCTCTTATTACGACCCAGTTATTCCTATTGACAAGTCCCCAAATCAGAACACGGTTGAGCAGGCAAGAAATTATATCCCAAATAACAGAGGTAGATGGAAGTAAGAAGCACAATAAGAAAAACGTTTGTATATATTCACAGTTTTTGCATGAGAGGATTCTAGGGTCCTCTCCAAATATTGACTTGCGTTAATTAGATACGAAACAGCCGATCAGCGCGCACCAACACGGTCGTGCACGGAACATGCTTTATTCCTGTCTATATCTCGCCAACGCAACATGTGACCAGGTGATGTCGATTCAAAATGTTTGTGGCTACACTAATTTATATGTACAAGCAAGATGCAAAATAGTGACGTGTCATACTTAAGTACATTTCGCACGTCTAGCGTAGCTGTAGGAAGGCCAGAGTACGATACAGACTGTTCAGTGTGTTTATTGTAGTGGCATTGAACAATAACCGCACAATCCACAAAGCTGAACACGAGACTACTCAGAAAATAGATATTCAATATTTAACGCGGATAAATACCTGACAATGGAGAAGGCGCGAATAATGAATTGAATGGACTGGAGTTGATCGAGTGGCATGGCTCGGCCATGCAGGCGTGGTCTCCGCTGAATATTACCTTATATCTTTTATTCATATTAAATATATTGTTCTTTCTCTAGCCTAAGCTTGTTTTTCATCATGTATTGGTAGTTGTTACGATACAGTGAGTTGGTGTAGACGATGATGTGACTTCCACGTAAGATCTTATAGATTAGGCAGTTATATCATGACAAATCTACAATTTTAGGATTAGGTCTATTATTAGAGCAGTAGTAATATCATAGTAGACCATAGTTCTACATTATAATGCCTCATGTTATTTGCTTTAGTGGTGAATTTAGATCTTTCGCAGACGCTATAGGCATCAAGAGATACTGTAGGTTTTGTTTGATTGCCTGGGCGTAATTTCAATTAGTAGAAGACCTGTCAGAAATAAAGTACTTTTTGCTAATAAATATTGTTAAGTAGAGGGAAGAACTAATAGGAAAACAAAATAAAACCACATTTAAAGGGCTATAACCTTCAAAGTTTGCGCGTTGAAACAGAACCAATACAAGCTTTGCTAGCCACATCTTACTACTGATATATATGATGGTCGAACAGTTACTTTATGGTATTGATACTTAGTACTGACTATACTATATCTTTTGGCCCAGTGATTACTGGTTTTCTTAAGTAAGAATCAGTTGATTACATATTTCCTACTCACCTTTATAAAGACCTTCTTATAAGTATTTGGTGAGTCATTGTATTTTGATTGTATCATAAGCGATTCATGACCTTAAACAACAGCAGTAATTTGTAACCATTCATCTAGCTTTTTAGTATTTTATTTTGAGATTTAGCGGCTTGCCGACCGTATGGCGAACAGAGTTTCGACGTACGCGAAACTCAACATATTGAATAATGGATAGTCGTAACTCAACGTGTGTGAACCATTTCACACGGTAGTCATAAGTACTATCTATCACTATTACTATTACAGGTAGAAAGATGAGTGGTAAATCTGGCCGTCTTTGATCATTATTGCAGACCATGGACGCCAGTCTGAGTCTGAAGTCTTCCACTCCATTCCTACATTCTTAATCATCACATGAACCCGTAAGCTCGTCTACCACCAACAAGTTGGTCGTTTGAGAGGACAAAGTTACAGATATTTGAAGGCCGTACTCTTGGCTCAAAACCTACTACAATGAACAAACGATCTTATATATGATTTCCCCGACTTTAGAATGCTAGTAAAGCCAACTTTGGATGCACTGTATCAAACCGTGTTTATGGCACAATACTTTGACCACACAAATGATTTCAACTTCTATGTGAGCCCGCATGCAAATTTTCTGAGCCCAAGCCCAAACATATCAAAAATTAATCAGTCAATGTATTCGTCCACCAAGATCTGTATCATTATACACATATTATATACGTTGTGGTCCATAAAAATAATCCTTTCACCCTGCTTATGAAAGACCCTATGAAGGTTTGCATCGTAATCCAGATCGTATACCATCGACATGGATGGAACAAAGGGTAAAGTTGAAACAAACCGTCTGGAAGCCACTAAAATAGAGGGCATTGCCCTCTCCAATGGTTTACACATGAGAAAACTGAAAGACACAGTCCATGGATTTATAATGCGACCTCCGATAACAAACGATCGCAGA